GGAGAGAAGTCAATGGCACCTTCTGAGGGAATCGCAGTACTATCTAATTTTGCTCTCCATATTCCGTTTTCTCGACTATATTAGGTATCCTTTTTGAAAAGTTATCTAGTCATCATCGAACGAATCAACCGAACATCTTATGGTGTCCAACTCACTTCAAATAGCTATTTCATCCACCATCCTTTTTTATGAGCTTAGGCATCAAAAAATTAGTCAAAGGCAGCAGACTCCCTGATGATCCATCTGGAGCTGAACACCAAACTAATGAGCCTAGAGCCTTAGTTTAAAGGAAGGATAAAGGATAAAGCATTTGCCGTTGATCAATCCCTTTTTGGGATGCGGCACGCATTCTACTTCCATTTGTACATTCGTAGTGGTTTGAATGCGATGTGGCCTATACAATGACTTGCGGGGGCCAGCCGATGTACAAGTCAGTGTTTTTTTTTATCCTCCCAGACAAGTCTGGTACCAATTAACCGACCCCGGAGGGATGGAAGGCTTGGTTGGCCCGGGCGACTCACGACCCAGGATTTGATCCCCGGACCGCTCGCGTGGTAAGCGTGCCACTTGCCACTACACCACTTCCGCCCTGCTGTAAAGATACCTAGTGGGAATGGACTCGAACACAAAATCTAAAAAAACTGTCACAGGGTATATCCGCGATGTTTGAAAAACACTATCCCTACCGCGTATGGCTCACCATAAATGTAGTCCTTGGTAGGCGGGTTGGTTGTCGTCGCGTTCACACGGTGCCCGCGACGCCCTAGTCCCCCTTGCGGTCGAATTCGATATAAAACGGCTCCAATGGTCACCAGTCAACGCGATATTGTTGCCTAACAGCACCGTTGAATAAGTTGGCGTTTGTCTTCTCAGTGGTCTAAAGATGGCGTTGTTCCAGACCCCACTGAATTTCACTTTGAGGGGTAAAATGAACCCAATCGCTGATACCTCAGCGATTAGGTTCGTTTTACCTTGCAAACAACTGGAGGACGTCTATAGCATGGTGGCCAGGGAAGGTAGCCTTCAGCTGCCTAGCTTTTCATGAATAAATGTAAAATATTGATGCCTTGCTGTGCTTTCCGTGATTATTCCACGCCTAACTGGAATGCTTTGTTGCATTGATTGTCAATTGTGTTGTCTACATATGAAAATACTTTTACATTTGGATATTTTAAGATAGCAGGGTTTGGGGATCAATTCCGAAAGTGTGTACTATACAATCCGTAAATGAAGAAGGAAGGAAAAGAAATTGCTGGATACGCCTCAAATTTCCTCATGGTAAGAGCCCAGCAGAACGGGTGAGTGTCCGCATTCCTGAACTAGAAGCTCCTGAGATTGTTGGTCATTGCGTTAGAATTCTAACGCGTAGACCTTCCTTCGAACAACCAATTCCTATGAGATTCATGACATTTATCGAAAATAACAAAAATAACGATCGATATCGATCACAAGTTCAGTATTAGTATATGTACAAATTTCGACTTCGATCAATATTATTACAGAGTGCGATCAATATTATTACAGGATCGTGCTAGCACTGAATGAAGTTAATGGGTGGGGGCTGATTGTGCAAGGAAGGGTGCAAAAGATGATCAACCGGTGGTGAAAGGGTAGAGGGCGAAATGGGTGTCGGTCAAGAGACATTGGTGGCGGCGTCGCACAGGAAACGGAGCGTCTGCGCGCGCGGCGGCGCAATGAGTCATCATCGCTGAGACCTGCGCTGCGTGTGCCGCGCGCGACGCCGAAATCTGAGTCTCCTGACCGACACCCTGGCTGTGGAATGACGGTGAACAACGACACTGAACCTGAACTGTTCTGACCAGAAACACACGAGAGATGAGTCGATAAGTGATGGAGCAATAGAAACAACCGAGTCATCGAAATGAGTAGTCAAATTAGTCATCGCATCTAATTAGACAGAACCGTAGCGAACGAAAGAGGGAGTGGGGGTGGAGAGGGGGAAGTCGCTGGGCGGCTGTAACCGTCACAAGACGGAATCCTGGGTGGAATCCTGGGCAAAGATGGATCGAATAGCGCAGCCAATCTATGATACAGTATTTATTACTTTGATCGTCTAGCCGTTTTTCGGCTGAACGTGCCTGAAAACGTGCTGTGAACGTTTTCCATGGACTATGAAGTGGCGGCCACTAGGGGAGCAGGCTCTTCCGCCGTGGCATCCACTGCTTCTTTTTGCATGCGAATGTGATATGCTTCGGTTTCTTGCCAGATAAGCTCCTTTCAGCTTTTCCTTTGGCAAGTCGTCGAGCTCCATCTCGTACGTGAACGGCTCCTCGCACACTGGCTGGAATGTAGTAGTTCGGCAGCGAATTTCGATTGGTGACGAAGAAACAATTAAGAATCCCTCTGTCAGTACCTCATCAGTTGGATCGTGGTACTGCTCGAAGTACGAGTGGGCAAGCGCTTGATCGATGTCGATCCTGAAAATCCAAGTATTGCGAAGTTCCTCATCAAGTATTGCGAAGTCCCAAGTACCATGGAGGGAAACAAGGGAACGAAAAATGAATAGTTGACGACAACAGCAAAAGGGCACAACGCGTATGCGTCACGGTTGCACCTTAAAGTCACACTCCAAGGAAAACAGACTTTGCAGTAGGCAAAGTTCGGGCTCAGACCCACCTAAGAAGCCCTTACCATGGCTAGAAGTGCTGGGTACGCAAGTGCAAAGGTAGCGCCACCTTTCTACATCGAAACGCGTCACTAGGACCCTAGGCGCCATGGACTTCTAACAGACTCCACCAAACTTAACATGGTCCGCCCACCGTTCGATATCTTGTCTGCGTCGCCACGTTGATCTGCTATGCTCTCTCTTCTCGACTTCTCTACCACTCTCCGCGCTCACATTATCTCTCATCTCCCTGCCTGTCTTTTGAACTTCTCCACAGCATGGAGCAAAATGCTCGTATTTCCTGTGTATTTCAGGATTTTCTTTCCTTTTTTTCTCCACTGGCGGTCCACCTCCCACCCTACTTTCACATTTGAGTGGAATCACCCCATCAATTTAATCCTGATTCTTGCCTTTAAATGTTGCGAAGTAGCTAGACCGCTGGTTACTATATGCAGCGTGAATAAACCTGCTTTATCGCGTACCCGAAACCCGCAAACTACCAGATTTAGCAGAAAGTAGCGCATTGTGATACTGGCGAATCTAACGACTTTCGTAATTCATAGCACCAGCCAATACACACGCGAAATATTTCTGTGATCTATGGCAAAATTCATGGCCACGGACTCACAGCACCAAATTTCATAGGCCTTTATTACCCTAAAATCCCATAGATAAGAGCGGTCCATAGATATTTTTTCAAAAATAAAATAAAAATAAAAATATTTTTTCAAAATCATTTTTTACCGGTAAATTAAACCGCTCTTATCTATGGAATTTTACTGATCGAATGGGCTCTTCAAGTTCTATCCAGAGATCAAATTCCGGCATTTCTAGAGAGATTCCGGCAGAAATTCCGTTAAAATCGCTATTTTCTATATGAATTGTTTATTAAGTGGGCGGGGTTTAGAGTTGAGGGGCGGAGCTTCTTCTAAACTTCTTCTCCGATTTTTATTTATCCATCCATCAAGTTAGAGGGGTGACTGCATTCAATTTCAATTTCATTCCAATTCATTTTTCACCGGTAAATTAAACCGCTCTTATCTATGGGATTTTAGGGTATTTATGTGATTACTTACATAGATGGGGATAGCACTAACGCTTCATGTAACCGCCAGCGCGACCGCAACGCATGCCTAATGGACTAAGCCTAAGCCTAAATTCGATGAAGTGACCAACCGTTTTTGGGGATTGAACGTGAGCAATTTGTCGAGCAAATCCAACGCATGTGGATCTGCTTCTGGATAAAGCGTTGCCCACGGCTGCTTTACCCGCTGCGGTAATCGAGCCAAAAACGCACGTGTCGTATAACTTCGTATAATGTAAAAAGGGCATCTTCTTGAATAAAAAGAATAATAGAAAAATTTATGTAGCACAAGGGACATTTTGGTGCAGAGCTCAGGTCTAAAATTATGACGTGGTGCTAAGTTATTTGCAGGGGAGGGGCTCTCGCCGCCGCAGCCGCTGCACGTCCGCACTCGACAATCGTGAAAGCGGTGGAATGTGCGAGTCTATACTATCTCGCCAAGAGGACGCAGACATGTTGTGCGTCGCTGCGGCAACTGCCCATTTGCCAATGATAGCGGCCAGATGACAATGATGAGCGTCATTTACTGAATTAAAAGGGGAGGCACATGTGGTCAATGCTATACGTCATATAGTAAACTCCAGAGAGTTTGCGAGGATGGGTAAAGCTCCGCCGATGGCGTTCGGTTACGCAGCGAAACCGAAATCGGCCACCAACCCGCAGTTTCCTCCAAAAATCGGGATTACTGTAGGCGACACGAATTATCAAAACCACGTGCTCCCTCCGTCCACCCCCATTAGTACTGACCTATATTGGAATAAACGTTTTGTGAAAGAAATACTTGATCTATTCCCTGTACACACAGACGAATTTTTCACCCACCCCGGGGTTGTCTCCCTCTCCAAGAACTGCTGTCTAATGAAGACGCGCAAATATAACTTCGTATTGCCCCAAAAATGAACATGAACAAATCATAGAACACTGAAATTCACTACAAACAAAATGTCACATAATAGGCCTATGTCGTGACCGCCGTCACGATGTGCGACGTGATGAAGGCGGGCTGAGAGGAAAGCGCGAGATAAAAGGACGATGAGTTGTGTAAAAGGGCTTCTTCTTCTTCGGCCTCATTCCTTCGATTCTTCTATCTCTTATCTCCGCTCATGTGTCTCGTCGAGTCTAGGATCGGTTACGCAGTAGGTCATGAGAATGATTCTCTCGATCGTATTAATGGGTTGATTGATCAAATAAATTTGTGTTTATTCTTTATCTGTTGTATGACGGCATGAGCCACCGTACATGTTACACCGAGGTACGAACATGCTACTATATAAAACCGATAAAAAACCCACCTTCATGTTGAAGATGAACTGCAGATCTTCGTGGGATGGTGAACCAAGTGCACAAAGAATGAGATTCAATTGATCAATGTAATGTTTGCCGGGAAATAACGGCCGATTGTTGAACATTTCGGCAAGTATGCAACCAACCTCAATATTTACACGTATATACTTTTTCTACTGAATAAATACCGATTATACGGACAGCAAAAATCGGAAAAAATTTTGAAAGGGGTCTCTTCTCTTCTCAGGATGACGTCCAAAGTGGAGCAAGTTCGGACGGATTCCCTGCCAAAACACTTAGTACCGCGAAGAAGGTATGGAAGGGGTTAGGAAAGGGTTAGAACGAAGGCTATGTGCTTGGGTATGATCAAAATCATGACAATATAAAAGCCGATAAGGAGGGATGACATGTGATTACCACCAAAATCGCTGCTCTTCTCACAAATGCCGTAGGACGTCTTCACCATTGTTACGCAGTGGGACGTTCTATGGCGATAAGAGCTTGATACAAAATGATAAGAGGTGATAAGCAGTGATAATACGCGAGTGTTCCCAAACTGATTGTAATGTTTCATTGATCCTCACAGCTACACCTATTAGATATCGTTTAGTATATGATCTCGAAGAATCGGAGAATCGGCCTGAATGTCTTCTCATGCAGTCGCAGGGTCCGCTGGGGAGATTCCGCAAATGTAATGAATAGGCATTGCCTAGAAGAGTCAGAGAATCGATTAATAGGAGAGCCTGAGCATGAGAGAGCCGTACAACCGCTCTACCCTTTCATCCTCTATCTCTATGAAAGAGAGGAAGCCAAAGGGGAGACAGTGGAGGGTCAAATGGAGGTAAAATCAGTGTTAGCCGTGGGACCTCACTGGTGACAGCATGGGTAAGCGACCCATTACTTTGTATCCCTATCTGGGTCGAGTAGTGTTCCAGACGCCTTATACGTCTCACTTTTAGCGCGCCTATAGATTCCTAAAGGCCGAACTAATCATATTTTATACAACGGACCGAAATATTAGGATTGAAGGAAAGCAAACGAGATAATAAATCAAAACTCACAGCCCAAACATCGATTGATTTCGTGTAACCCTTAGAATTGAGCATGATTTCTGGTGCACGATACCACCTTCAAAAAACCTTTTTAAGACCCGATGTCGAAGGAGAAAACAAGTATTGGGATTACCGTGTTGCGACATATTCCGTAAGGAAACCAGTATGATCTTTGCGAGGATCCGTTATCCTAGCCAAACCAAAGTCACATATCTGAAAAATGAAAAGGTCGATTACAGCAGTTTCGATGGAAAAATGAATCAAAGAAATTACGTTTTTTCTGGTGCTGTTTTTCGCCGCAGTACCCGATGCAAAA